CGCTAATTGTTGCCTAATCAATTGTTAAAATAAACGACATAGTAGGGTTAACCTGGTCTGGTCTTGTTAAACCACATAGCCTTCTCACTCTTGTTTTATGTTTCTCATTATTCGAAGCTGTATGGTTGTCCATATTAAACACACTCGATCATGTCAATATTTAGCCTAATCGGTTTAGTTCTAGCCAAGTTCGACCCATTTTTTGAGGGGCTATCTTGTATTTCACAATTTTAAAATATATATATATATATATATATTGGTATTTGATACTATTTCTGAATAAAATGGCCAATAAATGTAAGTCATTCCCTTAAAACATAAAACAAAGCTGGAACTTACTTGGACCTTTCATGCTCCAGGAGATTGAGACTGGAGTATCCTGATTGATTTCGTTTTAAAGCAAATGGAGCAAATCCCCGTTCGTTCACGTGCTTATGACGCAGAAGAAGAGTCCTCATCACAGGTCCACGGTGCTCAGGTTGAATTTGGTCATTTATCACCATAACGTCCACGACCCGGTAAGCTATACCTGGAAGGTCATTTTCTTCCAAATCCAGTAACACTGTCCCTGTTATAGGGTGATTTTAGAATTATATGTTGGATAATTCGCTATTCAACGTTGTTTACGTAACATAGAACGTACATGCTAACAAGCTGTTCCTGGGGTATATAACATTTGAACATAAATGATGGCTGAAAATACACAAATGATTAACAAATTTTCCCGTTGATTTCATGCCAATTACAAAATTATTAATTAAGAGCCAAATTAACTTAAGAATGACGTCAACTTCGAAAAGGAGATATTTACAAGCATTATTTAAACACCTTCGATATCTCGATTTTCTCAAACACCAAAGATAAACGGTACACAGATACTTGAACAAATGATAAACAGAATGTATAATGTTCACAGAAACCCTATATTATTTGTTGTTTCTTAGTTGAAAAACATCACGTTCAAATCTTTGGTCATTTTAAAACTATTTGCTGTTAAACTAAAATGGGATGTTTGTCGTTTGCAAATCATTATTCCCTGCTTCATTATTCTCATTTTTAACGTGTTTATTTTTTTTTATAATAAACTGTTTTTCGGTCGTTAAACAGCAAGTTTAATAATTTCTTCACCAGAAAAGAACACTATACAAGTAACATTATCGATACAAGTTTTAAGCAGGATTGTTTCAAACAACGTATTTAAATTGGAGGAATAGATTGCTACAAACACTTAAAACGTCACAGATTATGTTCTCAATCGGACCTCTGGTGAAAAGGAACAGTAGTCTGATATAATAGTTTAAAAGTTTGTCTGCTGTATAATATCGAATATTAAATTAGGCATAATGGTATAGTGTTATTCACACACCTATATTAATTTACTTTACCAGATAATGGGTTAAAAACAAGACTTAAAAAACCCCACAAATCACCATTCTAAGACCTTTACCTTACTGTATTATTTGGTTGCTGACAAGCCCCTACTTCACAGATTATGTTTTAATTTTCACTTTTGGAGAAAAGAAATCTGTAATATAAATTTAACACGACTGTTTCGAACAACGAATTTAAGTTGTAGCAATAGTTTGCAACAAATATTTTCAATACAAGTTATATTAATTTCTTTGGATTACATTATACTGACTTCAGTCTGCATTATTGCAGACGGAGAAGTAAAGTGAAACGTTAGATGTTGAAGTTAGTATTTCGGGATTTATAATAATTGATGACTATTTGTTTTTATATTAAAAGCGGTATAACAAATTGCTTCTATCCAGAGTTATCCTAAGCCTATTTACGGATTGTACTACCTTGTTCCAAGCACTTCCTCAGAGACAAGAGACTGTGGAAGGACAAAGAGGCGACATGAGGTTTGCCCCATCTGTCGGCGTCTTCTTCTACATTCTCTTCATATTTTATCCAACGCGCTGTTTCTTTCCATTCCAACTCTTGGTCATCACTTTGCACCAGTTCATCTAGCTGTACAAAAACCTAGAGACCCAAACGTCAAGCTATTAGAGTTGAATCTAGTGCACAAAAAAACCTAGAGACCCAAACGTTTATTGTAATCGTCAAGCTATTAGAGTTGAATCTAGTTGACACAAAAAACTTTGAGACCCAAACGTTTATTGTAATCATAAAACTTAACAGTTGAATCTAGTTGACAAAAAAACTTTGAGACCCAAACGTTTATTGTAATCATCAAACTAAACAGTTGAATCTAGTTGACAAAAAAACCTAGAGACCCCAACGTTTATTGTAATCGTCAAGCTATTAGAGTTGAATCTAGTTGACACAAAAAAACTTTGAGACCCAAACGTTTATTGTAATCATAAAACTTAACAGTTGAATCTAGTTGACAAAAAAAAACTTTAGGACC